CCCCGGGGGCGGCGGCCGAGAGGCACCTGCTGTCGCCGCTCCGCCTCCCGAGGCGAGCCCGGAGCGGCCCTCGCCTCTTGGGAGCGGGACGTGGCGTGACCGACCACGTTCAGGCTGTCGCGAGTCCGCCGGGGGCCCCGGGGTCTTGGCGTCCCCAGATGTCAAAAGCCGAAGGGCGGACCCGAGCCGACTCCCGCCCCCTTACGCGGTTCCCGCTGCTCTTTCTAGTTCGCCACGGTTTACAAGGCCAGAGATAAGAACACCAACCAGATCGTCGCCATCAAGAAGGTGAGTGGACGTTTCCGTCGCTTTCCTTCGAGGCCCCCTGGAGATGCCCGTGTCGTGAGTGGACGGATGACCGCTCTGCCGGTCTCGACGCGCTGATCCCGGGGAGTCACTCGTGTCGTCCCCAGAAACGGAAGGCTGCCTTGTGTCCCGAGGTGGAACTCCAGGGCTGAACGAGTTTTTTGGTTCTGTGCCTTGACTTGGAAGGGGCGAAGAAGCAGTTCGTTCTTTTCTCTGCACGAGCTCGGAGGGTGGCTAGGGGGACACGTGCTGCCCTCCTCCTTCAGTCCTCGGAACTGGTGGATGTTGTTCCAGCGTGGCCGGGTTCTCAGGCCTGCTGCCCCGAAAATCCGAGATGCACAGCAGCTGTGACCGCGGAGAAAGCGTTTAGGCCGGCCTCGGTGGCTCAGCCTGTCATCCCAGCACTTTGGGAGGCCGAGGCGAGCGGATTGCCGGAGCCCGCGGGGTTCGAGACCCGCCCGGGCGCCTTGGCGAGACCGCTTCTCTACAATGAATCAAAAACATTAGCCGGGTGGGGTAGCGCGTGCTTGTAGTTCCGGCTACTTGGAAGCCTGAGGCGGAAGGTCCACCCGAGCCCAGCAGGTCGAGGCACGGCGCTCCATTCTGGGCGTGTCACTCCAGTCTGGGCGACGAGACTCCAACTCAAAAGAAAAAAAAGAGAGAGAGAAAGAGTTTAATATCCGCAGAAAAGCAGCTGAGTGAGGAGGACAGGGGATCTCAAATCCCCTTCCCGGAAAGTCTTAGGCTAGGGATTTTTAAGGAATAATTTGAGGGCGTCGTTGGGGGCTTTTGAAACTGGTTTTGTGTGCGGAGCCGGTTTCTGGGAGGGGAGGTCACAGGACCGGTGGAGCCGGCTCCTTGGTATGTGTCCCTGGTCCCAGTGGGGGGCAGGGGTCCATCAGGATGCAAAGTCTGAAAAACATCTCCGACATCATCCTTAGTTTTTTTTTCTTAGAGAGGCTTTTTTTTTTTTTTGAGTTGGAGTCTCACTCCTCGCCCAGAGTGGAGTGCAGTGGCTGCTCCTGGCCACCGCAGCCTTGACCTGCTGGGCTCCGGCGATCCTTCCGCCTCAGCCTTCCAAGTAGCTGGAACCAGCCAGGCTGATTTGTTGATTTATTGTAGAGATGAGGTCTCGCCAAGTTGCCCAGGTGGGTCTCGAACCCGCGGGCTCCCAAGGCATGGGATTACAGGCTGAGCCACCGAACCAGGCTTAAAAAGGCTATCTTAAAGCAGATCCTATGTCCATAGACTACCGACTCCTGGGCAGTAAGACCTTATAGAGAAAGTATGTGGGAGGTGGGTTCCCTCGTTCAAATCTTAGGATGCCATCAAGGAGATCCGTGTGATGTTAGGCTCATTGTTTAAGGGAAAACGTATTTCTCAATTTAGTAGGGAGCTTCCCACCTCCCCAGGGACCAAGATGTGAGTATAATCAATTGCTCTCAGTTGAAGGAAAAGCGAATTTAGAAACAACCAGTTTGTTAATTTCTCCCCTGAGCTGCAACTTTGAAGGGCTGAGGTCTTTTCCACACCTTTCATTTCATGGCTCAATGTTAACTTTTAAGATTTATTAATTGTTTATTTATCAAGAGAAGCGATTACTCAGGAACACAGGTCTGTGACAAACTTCTGTGTACTTCAACCCAAGAAAATTCTTTACATTCCAAAATCACTTTGCACTCTGAAAGATACCAGCCTTTCTCATCTCCTCAAAATCTTTCATAGAATTATAAATTCTGTAGACCTCTGTATATGCCTTCTTTCTTGGTTCAGCTGTAACAAACTTAAAGCTGCAACCCCCAGGGATACAGTGAAGGCTCCAACTATATGAAACCACAGACACGTGGTCAGAAGGCCATGCATCTGAGGTTTCGTCAAAGTACTGGAAGCCATGGTAGTTATTATCTTGACAGGTATGTCAACCTTAATACTCTAAGTTTTATGTAGATGGCTTCAATATCGTGATCTTTACAGATAATTATTTCTGTCTCACCTGCATCTACTCTGTCTTACCTATATTTGCTGGGTACAGATTTATCATGAAAGATTTTCACTAGCATTAGCGACATTGAGGCGACACATTTCCTAAAGTGATTTAAGTAACTTCTTATGTTTGTTCAAAAGACCAAGGTCATAATTAGCTTTCACTTTACCTGCATTTTTTAGGTAACCCTCAAAATAGGCTGTGAAGTAGGTAAAGGTAACCCTGTTTTATACTTGAGGTACCTGGATCTGAGAACTTGGATGATTTGTCAAGATCACACAGCTAGTAATTGTTGAAACTAGGATTTAAATCCAGGTGTCCTGACATTTGTTCATATTGCTCCTTGGAGTTTCACTCTGTCGCCCAGACTGGAGTGCAGTGGCACACTTCCAGCCACTGCAGCCTCGACCTGCTGGGCTCCGGCGATCCTTCTGCCTCAGCCTTCCAAGTAGCTGGAACTACAGGCGCGTGCTACTATGCCCGGCTAATTTTTTGATTTATTGTAGAGATGAGGTCCTGTCAAGTTGCCCGGGCGGGTCTTAAACCCGTGGACTCAAGCAATCCACTCACCTCCCAACGCACAGGATTATAGGCTGAGCCACCGAGCCCGGCTAGGAGATTTTTTAAGAGATAAAATTTCCATGTGTTTTCAGAAGTAGTCTTTACTTGGTTACTGACAGTCCTTAAAAAAGTAGTAAGAGAAGGCCCGGTGCCCCACGTAATTCATTTTGCATAAGACTAAACATGTCCTTGTAGCAGTTTATCCATTTTCCATATCACGATTTGTCATTTTTACTTTTTGGAAAATGTGGTACCTAAGAGCATATTACTGGGCATATTACCAACTGCACATGTTATTTTCTGTTTGTATGTCACATCTTTCCTCCCAAGTAGGCTAATTTGAAATTGTTGCTTTTTTTTTTTTTAACCAGTATACCTTCAGTCATTTGGTCCACATTTAACCTGGAAAAGATAAAGTTTCTTTTGTAAATGCTTTTTAAGATTTTTGCTTTTAATTATGTAGTTTAGGAACTTAAGGGACAAGGGTAGATACTTGATTCTTCTAATGTTAATTTTGCCTTTCTGGTTTGTGATTCCTGCTCCCTTTTTGCCTTATACCAGGAAAAATAGGCTGCTGTCTATTTTTCCACTGTGGCCGAGTCTTTGGAATGTTTGTGTATTATGTAGTGACTTTAAATAATTTAACACGTTTTTGGTGTGCTTGATTTTTTTTTTTCTCTACCAGATCAAACTTGGACATAGATCAGAAGCCAAAGATGGTAAGTATTTTATGTAATCTGACTCAATTGAAAAGTTTTTATTCTCACTGAGGACATGAGCAAAGTATTAATAAGAGTTAGCAATGGTTCTGGGTAGAGTTACTGCAGAGTCCCAGAAGAGTAACGATAGACTCAGGATAGGGAAAGGCTATTTGGTGGTTTTTGCCAATTGAATGTTCAGAGGAACACTCCATATCACCCAAATAAATGGAAGGCAGCAAAGTTATTAGTGGTTTGCCTTTCTGTCTTCATTACTGTTTTAGGTGTTACAAGTCATCGTTTTTTCTGTTTCTAAGTTTCTATTACTTTGAAAAATCAGGATACGTTTTCATGAAAGTTTGCTATGAAATAGATATAATGGGGAAAATACTTTTTTGTGTCTTCTTTCAAAGCCTTTTTCTGTTAGGAGTGCTAAATCCTATTTAGTCATTGTAGTTCCTAAACTACATAATTAAAAGCAAAAATCTTTTTTTTTGTTGTTGGTTTGTTTTTTGGTTTTTGGTTTTTTTTTTTTTTGAGTTGGAGTCTCACTCTGTCGCCCAGACTGGAGTGCAGTGGCTGCTCCCGGCCACCGCAGCCTCGACCTGCTGGGCTCCGGTGATCCTTCCGCCTCAGCCTTCCAAGTAGCCGGAATTACAGGCGCTCGCTACCACACCCAGCTGATTTTTTGATTTATGGTAGAGATGAGGTCTCGCTGCCCAGGCGGGTCTCGAACCCGCGGGCTCAGGTAATCCACTCACCTCAGCCTCCCAAAGGCGCGGGATGACAGGCTGAGCTACTGAGCCCGGCAAAAGCAAAAATCTTAAAAAGGCATTTAAAAAAAGGGATATGGGAGTTATGAACCAGGAACCATTTGGTTTTCATCCATGGTTCCTGGTTCATAACTCCCATATCCCCTTTTTTTTTTTTTTTTTTTTTTTGT